CCCCCCTCCTCCCCCTTCCCCTCCTCTTTCCCCCTCTCTCTTCTCTCCCTCCCCCCCCCCTCCCCCCTTCTCTTCTGCGACTGGCTGCTACAGTCCTGCTAATAAAATCTCAGACAGGTAAACAGTTGTTTTGGCTTGTTGAGTTTAAGGAGCTTTTCCATCGTCCTTTACAAAGACTCCGAAAATTAACAAACCAGGTTTGTCACAAAATAAAGCCATGGGTGGAATCTGAGATTACAGGTCCAATGGAAAGAAGCATCACAAGAGTATCTGGTAATTCACTCCTCAGTGAGTTACCAGACGCAATGCTGGCAGTCACAGGAAGGCAGGGAACAGAATCTTTCACACACCTATTTGATAAAGAAGCACCCTCTCTCTGGAGTAGAGACTAGGGAGGCTGAGACAGGAGGATCACAAGTTCAAGGGCAGCGTGGACAACTTAGCAAGACCCTGTCTCGATATTTTTAAAAGGGGTTGGAAATGTAGCTCAGTGGTAAAGTACCCCTGGGTTCGATCCCCCAAAAAAGAAGAAAAAAAAGAAAACACCCTCTCCCAGGTATTGCTGAAGACAGCTGACTAGCAGTTTGTCTAGCTACTCCTGAGGGATTCAGACCTCGAGGACTTAAGAGGACAAAACACAGTAGGGTCATAGAAAATGTTAAAGGCCAGCCCCTCCACCGACAGCACTAGGAGTTGCACGCAGCAACCACTCTCCAGCTCCAGACACATAGGGTACAGGCCACGAGAGACCCCCGCTCTGTGAGAGGGCGCGTGACTCCCTGATGCCACGGGCTGGGAAAGCTAACAACAGGTAAGGAGAACTCCATTTCCTGTAGGCCCTCGCGCGTGACTACATTTCCCACAATCCTGCGCTACTTCCGGTGCGGCCAAGGACCGGCGGACGTCTTCCGGGTTTGGGCCTGGCTCTATGGTAGAGGCGGCAGCAGCGGCGGCGGCGGCGGCGGAGGAGGGGTGGGACGCAGTTTGTGGGAACTGGGTTACCGGCATGGACGTATCGGGGCAGGAGACCGATTGGCGGAGCGCCGCCTTCCGGCAGAAGCTGGTTAGTCAAATGTGAGTAGGGGCCGGGGCGGGGGACTGGATGGCCGGACATTCCTTTCTCGCGCGGGGGGCGAGGCCGAGGCTGGACCCAATTCTAGATCCCGGGCCCGGGAACCTGCGGGGTCTCCAGGGCACCTAGAGATGAAAGGTACTCACGACTTTCGTGAGCCCAAGGGCGTGGCCCTCGGTGGTTACCCCCTTTGTTGGCGGGTAAGGCTGCTTGTTAACTTTCCAGGTCTGAACTCTGCAAACCATGGAGCCTTGGCTTATGAGTCATCGTCCTGGGTTTTCTCATTCGTCATTTGTGTGCTTTGGGTGCGGACTTTTCCCCGCTTTGGTTCACACTGGATACGGAAAGGGAAAGAGGCAGCCCGTATTGATTTTACCAGGCGTTTCGTGGTTTCTCTTCCAGAAAAGCACTTCAGGATTTTTCTTGGGGGGGGGAGTATATGTAATATACATGGGGAGGGGAAGAAAGAGAGTGTGTGTGTGAGCTGTGGGTGGTAGGGACTGAGAAGCTAAGGATGACCCGTCAGAGTAGTAGGAACTTGGCCAAAGAGTGGCAGGAAGCGGCTGTCAGGAAGTGATCTTTGATTCCAGAGGAGGGGGTGAAGAACTGGAGTTGATGTCTCCTCCCAACGGAACTCCAGTCCCTCACCACTGAGTACTTGTTTAATTTAGCAGTTTTTAACTGAGCTTACTGGAGAGCTGTGCTCACCACAGAATTGCCAGAAACACAACCACTGCCCTGGGAGATGGAACTGTCAGTAGAGAAACAGTTCCTTGCAGTTTGCTCCCTTAGGCTGTGGGTGCTGCAGGGGCTTCTTGTAAAGTCGCAGTTAACTGACCAGGAGCACCCTTGTGGAGTAGGTGATGAACAAACTGAGTCCTAGCAAGGCTTGTAGGAGTGTGAAATACTACCATTCCAAATAGAAGATTGGGGAAATGAGAGAAATTAATTGCATAAAGAACCTTGTTGGGACTGAGAGTTCTAGGGTTGAGGAGTAAGGACATCCTGGAGATAATGGATGAGATAATCCAGTGCTGTCATGATAGTGATGGGAGTGTTGTGCTAAGGAGTTTAGCCTGTATTTGATAAGTGGCCTACTTTGAGGTGGTGAAATGCAGGTCGTGTTGGGAAGATCCCCCGAGTCCTTGGAAATGAATCAAGAACAGAAGATAGGCATTTAGGCTGTTTGGGGAGTTTTATTAAGCTCTTGGGGGACACACACCTGTCCTTCATCCTGTTTTCCCCTCTGCTAGATTACTGCCTATCACATTTATCTGTAAAATCCTTGTGGGATGACTTAATTAGACAGTAGATTATAAAGGCCTGCTTAGGGTAGAAACTGAAGACAGGATTCCAGAGAAAGGGAAGCTTGTGGACAATCCTGGATGACTAACTGGGGGTAGGATGAAGCAGTGTGGAAGAAAGGAAGCTGGCAGAATTCTGGGAATCTTTAGTACTGTGGAAGAAGTGGGGACTGTAGTGTTAGTGGCTCCTTGGTATCACCACAGTATAGCCTCTGGAGAGGTCTGCAGACTTTGCAGAATCATTGAACAGCATTTTATTGAAGCATTTGAGTTATTTCTAGGTGAAATCTCAAAGGATAACCCTCATCACCACTCAGGAGGGAGGGCTGGAGAAGTGTCAGGGCTGGGGGAACATTAAAAGTTTCCTTTTGGTGTTGAGATCAACCTGTGCCATGCTGGCCTCAGCAGTGCCCACCAGGTCCTCACCAGCCCTCTTGCCTGTGTTGTGCCTTTGCTGTGCTTGCCTGTAAATCTGATCCTGCGTTGCATGTGGGCTGGTTCTCATGTTACAGTTTTATATCATTCTACTCACTTCTCTTGTGAACCTGTGGACTTTTCCACTCATGCTTCTGCTCCACCCCTGGATGCCTTGCAAGCAGGAACCTGTTGCTGCCTCATTTGGCAGCAACAGGTTTCTGCTGCGGGCTTTCGGAAGCAGGAGAGGTAGAGACTTCAACCATGCTTGTTGAATGAAGGATCTAATAATGCAACGGGTCAACATTCTGTTATTTTTATTTACATCAAAACCGGTTTGTACATCTCTTAGCATGAATCCTCCTTTCTGTGATTTTTTTAATATAACTTTATTTATTAATTTTTTTAATGTGGTGCTGAGGATCGAACCCAGTGCCTCACACATGATAGGCAAGCACAGTACCACTGAGCCACAACCCCAGTCCCTTTTCTTTCTGTGATTTTTTTTTAATATTTATTTTTTAGTTTTAGTTGAACACAATACCTTTAGTTAGTTAGTTGTTTATTTATTTATTTATTTATATGTGGTACTGAGGATCCAACCCAGGGCCTCCATGCACTACGCCAGTGCTCTACCACTGAGCCACAACCTCAGTCCATCTTTCTGTGATTTCTTTAGAGATCACAAGAGTGATGCTGCAGCCCCATATGCGCATTCTTTAGTACCCTGTTTGTGTTTGGAGTGGTGAGGGTGTTTTTAACCACCAGATGGACTGGGCTGGTTTATTTATTCCATTCAAGTGAGGCCACAGAGCCCTGACAAGTCTTGTTTGTTTGTTTATTAGCAAGTCCAGTGCTGGGAAAACAGGCAAGAAGAAGACCTACACTACAGGGAAGAAGGCAGACTGAACAGAACAGACCATCGTGTCTCTTGGGAGATAGATGCCCAGCTCAAGCCTGCTATCGTGTTTCTTCCTTTCTAGCAATGCATTCCTGTTCTTTCTCTGTGTGTTTGTGTTATGCATGTGTGCATACATATGTGTGCAGGCATGGAGGAGGGTAGTGTATGCTGTCATTCAAGGGAAAACTGAGTTTAGCTCATGTATATAATTCTTTATAACCTGGAGTGGCAGTGTGGTATAAAACCTTTAGTAAGATTTCCTCTCTTGTTATACCTCTGTTAGTAAATGTGTTTTAAAGATGTTTTTCACGTTTGTGTGATCTGTCTCCTTCTGTCCCCAGCTATAAGCTTTTGAGTTTGGGGCGGGTCTCTTTGGTCATGTTTGGAGAACATGAATTATTCCACATAGGGACCCTTTCCTTGGGAGGAACTGAGAGATGACTTCTGTGGGCCCCTTCAGTTTACAGAGGAACATTCTGAAACTGAGGTTCCATTGTGCTCAGTGGCAGGTTTGGGTAGGCACCCAGGTCACTCAGAGGGCAGAAAGTAGAGACTGGCTGGCCACCCAGTGGTCTAATGCTTGCTTGTTTTTGTGTTGGTTGTGAGCAGTCTCTAAGGAACAGTTCCCCTTTCCCGTCAAGCCAGTGGCTTGCTTTTGCTTCATGGTGACCACCTTTCCTATTCCTTCTTTCTCATGGCCCTGTCCTCTTACTCCCTTGTTAAGCTTTCTGTCATTGCTCTGTTGAGCATCCCTCCCTTCATATCTTGATGGGACCTCAGTGAGGCTGCATTCTGGGAACAGCACCTGGTCCTCCCAGGGGCAGCTACCATGAAGGGCCTAATGGCTAAGACTTGCTATTGTGTGTAAATGTCTCTTTTGTGTTTCAGTGAGGATGCCATGAGGAAAGCTGGTGTGGGCCACAGTATATCTAGCAAGGATATGGAGAACCATGTATTCCTGAAGGCCAAGACCCGGGTAAGGCCTCCTTGGGTGGAGCCCCTTGATAGAGTGAGATGTTGCAGATTCTGAGAACTCTCTGCTAGGGTCCTAGGGAGTGGGTTGTTTGATTGCTCACTGATTAATCACAGACATGGTTGGCTTTGTGTGCATCATTCTCCTATGTCAATGGAATGAGGAGGATACTGGGTGGGCAGCCCTTGTCTTCACTGCTGGTATCTTCCATCTGTGGCCAGCCCCTATGAATCCTACAGGGAGCTCCCTCAAAACCTATTGTTCCCATGGAATGGGGAATGCTGGGAGTAAGCACTGATTCTCTCCTGAGCCGCAGCTCAACAGGGATCCTCCCTGAGCCCTGTAGACTCTAATGTATGGATATAGAAGTGCACCTATTCCCTTTTGTGAAGTGAGGCAGGTAATATTGGTTAAGATCTGAGCCCTGGGACAGCATAGGTGGAGTGGGTAGAAGGATTTCTACAATGTGGCCTCTTATCTTGGGTTTCATATGATTGTCTTGCTTCCTCCATGGGCTCTCCCCAGAGCAGAGCCCTTCTAGTAGAAATGAAGCAAAATGGAAGAAATGAAATGAAATGAAACAGTGGTGTGTGTTTATGAGTACATAGTTGTTTAAGGAAAAGCCCCAAGAGCATGCATATTGAGGTGGGGCAGGGTGGCTTCTGTTGTGAACATGTGTAATAAGTATTTTGTTTTTCTTTTAAGAGCATTATTGAGATTGAATTCATATACTCTACAGTTCACCTGTTTAAGGTGTACAGTTCAGTTGCCTAGGATATTCAGAATTATGTGAACTATCACTATAATCTAATTTTAGAATATTTTTCCAAAAGAAACTTAGTGACCATTAGCAGTCACACCTCATTTCCCCCTCAGTCATTAGCAACCACTTTTCTACTTTCTGTTGCTATGGATTTTCCCATTCTGAACTTTTCATATAAATGTAGTCATACAGGACTGGCATGTAGTTAATTGTTAAAGCACTTGCCTAGCATGCCTGAGGTCCTAGGTTTGATCCTAAGCACTATTTAAAAAAAAAAAAAAAAAAGATTCCTGGGGATTTATATTTATTTATTTATTTATTTTTGGTGTATGACTGAACCATGTTATAGCAGCAGGTACCTGATTTATTTTTATTGCTGAATAACATTCTGTCTGGATGGGTAGATCGTGTGTATGTACACACATACACACACCAACTTCCACTTATCAGTCGATGGACTTGGATTATTTACACTTTTGGCTATTATGAATAATGCTGCTGTAAATATTCCTGTAAAATATTTATAGGGTGTGTATGTGTGGTGCTGGAGGTAGAACTCAGGGCTCAGGGCCTTGAGCATACAAGGCAAGTGCTTCTCTACTGAGCTACATCCCTAGCCCATTATAAAAGTTTTTGTGTAGACAAAGTTTTCCTTTCCTTTGGATACATACCTAGGGATGGAGTTGCTGGTTCATGGAAACTCCATGTATAACTTTTTGAGGAACTATCAGTCTGTTTTCTAAAGCAGCTGTACCAGTTGAACCCACCAGAAGCTTATTAGGTTTCGTTTGTCCCCAACACTTATTATTGTCCTTTTTATTGTAGTCATTGTTTTAGTCAGCTTTTTCACTGCTGTGACTAAAGGACCCAACCAGCATAGTTATTGAGGAGGAAGAGTTTATTTGAGGGTTCACAGTTTCAGAGGTCTTAATCCATAGAAGGCTGATTCCATTTCTCGGGGCTCAAGATGAGGCTGAACATCATGGCAGAGTGTGTGGCAGAGGAAAGCATCCCTGATCAGGAAATAGACTGACTCTATTCTCCAGATACAAATATATACACCAAAGCCACACCCCAATTCTCAACTCCTCCAGCCATACCCTACAACTTTATTTACCCCTCAGTAAATCACTAATTGGGTGAAACTCTTAACCAACCAGTCATTTCTTCTCTGAACCTTCTTGCATTGTCTCACATGTGAGCTTTTAGGGGACACCTCACTTCCAAACCATAACAGTTATCATAATGAATGTGAAATGGTATCCATTGTGCTTTTGATTTACATTTGCCTGGTGACTATGATATTCAGCATCTTTTTATATGCTGGTTGGCCATTTGTATATTTTCTTTGGAGAGATGTCTATTTGTATTCTTTGCCTATTTTGGGTGTGTGGGGGTTGTACTAGGAATTGAACCCAGGAGAGATTAACCACTGAGCCAGGTTGCAGCATTTTTTTCTTTTTTCTTTTTTTTTTTTTTTTGTGACAGTGTCTTGCTAAGTTAGCCAGAGAGTTTGACCTTGAACTTGAAATCCTTTTGCCTCAGCTTCTTGTATTGCTGGGATTATAGGCATGACCCTTCTCCTGTTTTTTAATTGAGTTGTTGGTCTTTTCATTTTAATTTTTAAAAATTTTTTAAAATTTTTTATTTTTATTTATATATTTGGGGGATGGGATATTTTACTGATTTTGTTAGTTTGTATTTTCTTACAATTAAAAGAACTTTGATGAGGCTTATTGAACTGACCGTCTCAGCTTTAAAAATATAGACATTGTTAAGCACTGTTTATTGTTTATTCATAACAGACAAACTCCAAAACTTAATAGCATAAAGCAGGAAGTTATTTCTCCTAATTCTGTGAGTCCGGAGTAGGAACAATTGGAATTGCCCAGCTGCACCTTTCTGGTTTTGCTCTGACATCTCATGTGGTTGCTTAGTGAGGGTAGCTGGGATTGTCTGGAAGGTCCATAAAGGCTTCACTCAGGTGACTGCATGTCACTTTTCCCAGTATGGCCTCCACTCTGGTATCTCTAGTGGCAGAGCTCAGACTTTATTATAGTACTGTGGCTGGCTTTCAAAAAGAAGAAGTGGGAGCTGCCAGCCTTCAGAGGTTTGAATACAGGAATTTTTTTTTAAGAGACAGATAGAGAGAGAGAATTTTTTTTAATATTTATTTTTTAGTTTTTGGTGGACACAACATCTTTATTTTATTTTTTTATGTGGTGCTGCGGATCGAACCCAGCGCCCTGCACATGACACGCGCTCGCGCTCTACTGCTTGAGACACATCCCCAGCCCCAGGACATTTTTTTTTAGGGGGTGTGTGTGTGTGTGTGTGATGGGGATTTCACCCAGGGGCACTCTACCATTGAGCTATATCCCTAGCCCTTCCAGCCCTTTTACTTTTTATTTTGAAACAGGCTGACTAAGTTGCCAGGGTTGGCCTCAGACTTCAGTTCTTCTGCCTCAGCCTCTCTAATTTTTGAGATTATAGGTGTGCATCTGCATACAGGAAGTGTTAAGTCCAGTGAAGATTCAGGGTTGGGAAAATCACCTTTGCCTTTTGGCGTGACCAGTGGCCAGTGATTATTGCCTAGCTATAATGGAAACTACCTCAGAGACCTTCCTAGCAGCTGAGGAGTAAGCCTTCCATCCCAAAGGATGTGCCTACAAACACAACAGCCCCTGACCACCCCCATTCACTCTGCCTTAGTCTTTCATTTACTGCATATCGAATTACTTATGCTGCCCCTTAATGATTCCAATCCATTTGCTTTGTTTGAGTTGGCTCTAAATCCCTAATTTATAAAGGAGGCTCTGGCTAATTGAAAGAGAAGTGTTTATGAGAACAGTGTAGGAAAATTCCTGTGTCATTTTCACAGAGACAGACATACTTGGGCACTACCGTCTGTATTTATCTTCAGGTCAAAATTGCAACTCAGGCACACTTTAACCTCCCCTGCTGCCTGAGACCCTGTAGAACAGCTGTGAAAAAAATTAAAAAGTAGGACTCTGGAGCAGGGGAAAAGTTAGGGAATAATGATATCTCTGTGGATCCTAGAGGAGCTCTGAGGTAGTGAGTCATGGAGAAGGAGGATGACCTTCCCTTGGAATTCTGATAGGCTTGCAGTTTCAAAGATGCCTCTCTAAGGGTACTGGAGAACTAATGAGCACTTCAGGCAGTTTAGTGTATACTCCAGGGCAGAGAAATCCTTGAGTGTTTTTCTCTAGAAGAATTCACCAAATTTCCAGAGTCGACACATGCTTCCAGTGTTCATTCCCCAAGTTAAAGCCCTACCCATCTTGGCATTGGCTCACTCTTGGTTGCATGGCTAGATCTCATCTTCAGATTACAATGTGATGTCCCCGTGCAAGGCCATCTTCTGAGTTCTTCATGTATAAGAATCTCTTTGAGCCCCACTTACACCTATAAAGTGGGTACAGTATTGTTTTTCCCAGTCAACATACAAGGAAATTCAGTCACACATATGCTAATTGCCCTGCTCAAAATATCATATGGCTGGTTAGAGGAGAGCTGGGTTGTAATCCTAGGGGTCTGGTGTCAGAGTGGACGCTTTTAGCCATGTTTCTCATTGACTCCCACCCAGCAAAGCAAAAGACATACAGACACCCACTTTAATCCTTGAAGACTTATTTCTTATGGATGGGACTCCTCTTTGTGAAGGAGTTGAGGGAAACAAAAATAGCCATGCCTGGGTGGTGGGCCATAGTTCATAATAACAACTCCATGCATTCCAGGCAGCCTTCTGATAGTTCAGAAAGATTTAGCAGTCAGGGGTCCTGGCACCTGTCATCACCTAAAGGGGCAGTATGGAAAGATGCTTATTGGGTATATTCCCTCCCCCCCTCCCTCCCTCCCTCCTTCCCTCTCCCCCCCCCCCTTTCTTTCTTTTTCCTTTTAGTTATAAATGGGGACAATGTCTTTATTTTTATTTATTTTTATGTGGTACTGAGGATCAAACCCAGTGTCTCACATGTACTAGGTTAGTGCTTTACCACTGAGCTATAATCCCAGCCCAAGATGAGCATTTTCTTAACTTTTGAGATCTCCTAGAAAGTCCTGGGATTGTGCTTGGTGCTGCTGGTTCATAAGGAGCCTCCAGTGTTCTTATCACCATTAGCAGTGTTGCTTTGCTTTGATGAGTTTCATCTAAATGTATAACTGTCAGGACTTCTGCACTGCCTTTAGTAAACATTTGTTCACAAGCCTAATTTTAAAT